CGTATCCGATATTCCGCTGTCCGTTTTCAAAGAAGAAATCCCAACAACAAAGATGAGTGGGTTCCCACAACCAGCATCAAAATTGGCTTCAAAGGGAGAGCCCTTCCTAAGTCAATAAAATTTAATTATTGTTCAATTATTGTTGTATTTAAGAGTTGTGTATTGGTCATGTGTTAAAATTCTGCAAAGCTAAGGAGAGCAGGCGCCTTAACTGTAGGAAGTCTCCGAAGTGTGTGAACTGTGAGACGATGAACTGCTTGTCCTGTGGTTCAAGTGAGCACAACAATCTCAAGTGTTGCCGTAACAGGGAAATCGAATCGAACATCAACAGGATCATGGTAATTAAAAATCTCTCGTATAAAAGAGAATTTTTCGAATATCTCGATGACATCACGTATGACGACAATTTCCCTCCACTGGGGAACACGTCTGCAATTTCGACCAAGGATAATGATCAAAATGACAACAAAATTTTAACCAAAAATAAATTCAATGCTGCCGTCAAAAGGAAATCGGTTCCTTCCAAATCTCCTCCCAGTTCACGCACCAAGCCTTCTCTCAATTCACCCTCCAAGCCGTCTTGAAAGATTAATTCTCGCGATTCAAGAAAGTATCCGTCCGATAATCCCTCATAATCTTATTAAAGAATTTGAAGAAAAAATGTCTGTCTGTGCCATTTCTGGCCCCGTTCAACCACCCAGAGGAAATCCGCTGGGGTTCTTTCTCAAGTTTTAACATGATATCCTTTTTACAATATAATATTCAAAGTGTCCGACGTAACCTATTTTTTCCAGATTTTTACTTAAACTCAAACAAGATTGATTTCTGCATCTTAAGTGAAGTTTTTCTGAAAGATGAAAATTGTTTCGAAGTTAAAGTTTCGAATTATACCCCAGCGACCAAATGCTGAAATGATGGCTATGGTGGTGTTAGTATATTAGTTAAGAAAGGTGTCAATTTCAGACGTATTTCCTACAACTCTGCCGTTGACATCATCATCATCAAAACAATCAACCTGAAACCGAATCTTTTCATAGCCACATACTACTTTCCACCCAGTCTCAATGTGCAAACCTTTCGTGGTGAGATTCAGAAATTATACGACTTTCTTGACGGTGAACAAAATGTGATTCTAGCTGGAGATTGCAATGCAAGACACCGCCTGTATGGCGATCAAGTCTGTACCAACAAAGGCAAAATCCTTGTAAATGCCATCAATTCCAGCAGTTTCAGTGTCTTAAATAAGGGCAATACTACCTTTCCCTGTAACCGGAGCGATCGCACGGCGAACAGTGTCTTGGATCTAACTTTCTCGAGTTCAACTATTTCATCTTTCAACTGGAACACATCCAACGTTTCCATTGGCAAAAGTCAGCACTATCCCATTTTATTCCACATTTGTAACAATTCCATTAAGAAAATAGAAAATTTCATTTCACACAACTTCCTTATAGACCATCTGTTTAAAGTTGATCTTCCTTCTGATTTATCATCAATTCAAAGTGCCTTTCAGTCTGTGATCAGGTCTGCTAGAACCAACTTTCCTGACATTGAGTCCTTCTCACCTAACCCTTGGTGGAAGTCTTCTCTGTCAAAACTTTTCCACAAATACCAAGCTGCAAGGAAAAAACTAAGTAAATATGCCAATCCACCAACTACATTGAATACATGAAAACGCTGAAAGAATGGAGGTCTGCAGTTAGAGATTTATGTGGTAACGGTAACCCGCGTTCTTCCTTTGAGGCTTGCCTCCCAAAAATGCTTTGACCGTTTACAAACCTCTAGTCATGTCCAAAATTGAATTTGGACATTCCACATGTTGCAATTTCCCAAAATATATTGAGAAACGTATACAAGCATTTAAGAACCGAATATTGAAGCGTTGTGCTGGGCTGACCCCCTCAACTCCTCAACATATTCTCAATGTCATTTCTGGTGAATGGCCCGTTTCCGAAAGAGCACAGGAGTTAATTAAAGTCAGGATGATAAATCCTTACTTTTCTCAGGAAATTATATCTCTCAATGATACTGTCACTTGCAGCTACACTTTTTGCTATCAAAAACTTCGTCATATTTTTGATAATTTAGATTCAATTCCTCCCTTGAATTTCATTACCAGCAAATGCAGAGTCTTCATGAACATTCTCGAATCGATCACTTCCTCAAAACAAAATGTCAACTTCTCTTGTATGAGGATGTTATGCCAAGAAAAGGTCCTTTTTAATTACAACAACGGCTACGATATATATGCCACCGACGGTCCCGTCGGGCATAATGTATCTGGCTTCTCGGCCATGAAACATCTATCTAAAACAGTACATCTATCTAAAACAGTACAAGTGGCGAAGGAACTTTCCTCAACTTTTATTGAGTTGCTCGTCATTCGACTTGCTATTAAGGTTGCTATCTCCGATGGTATCAGAAGATTTGTTATTTTTTCTGACAGCAGGTCAGCTCTACTTCTAATAAATAAAACTCTTTTATACCGAGAATCAATATGTGTTTGATATTCAGAAGATGTTGCATGAATCTCATGTGGATGACAGTCACCTTGTTTGGATACCTGGCCACTGCGGCTCTTTTTTAAATGTAAAAGCCGACTTTCATGCAGGGACAATCGTCCATGGGACAATTTTGTCCATCATATACACTCCCAATGAAGCAATTCGGGCAATTCGCAACCACATCCTTCAACAGCTAAACGACGAATTTAAAGAGATCGCGCGCGTCAAATCCGATCGTCTTTTCTATAAATTAAATCCCACATTTCAATTCAAACCCTTTTCTTTTAATTCCTGGGAAATCAAAATTCTTTATAGACTCATGAGTGGTCACACTTATGATAAAGTTTATTTAAAAATGATTCGCGCTATACCATGTGATGTTTGTGAACTTTGCAATGTTGTCGAATCTGCTGAGGATCTAATCTTCAGATGTCACAGGCTTGATGACATTAGAGTTTCCTTGAGCTTCTTCAAGTTATATGGCTGTCTCCTCGATCTCTTTGCAGCAAAAAATGTACTTCATCTCGTGGAACTAACTTGCTTTATTAGAAAAGCTAATTTATCCTTTTCGGATTTTTTTCTTTTTTCCTCTTCCTTCCTTTTTTTTTTTGCGTTCAATCATCTTCTATTACATACCTTTTCGTTTTCAGGCAAAGTTTACAACACTGTTTGACTTTCAAGAACTCAACAAGCACAATAACACACACACACACACAATTACTCTTAACATGCGGGCTCCAGTTATTACGGCCGCTCTTTTTTTTTTGTACATAATTGTGACCAAAAATTACGACAGTTTATTATCTGGACATATAAGCCACAAATCTATTGGCTTAGTGCATCTCCATTCAACATACCAAAAAAAAAAAAAAAAAAAGGTCAATTTGAGTCTCACATTTTACATGTACCTGATTAGCCTCGATAATCAATCTGGAAAACCAGACGATAATCGCCTGCTTACATGACTACCTTCCTGATCCAGGTTGCAAGTGGACCATTGCAAACATGCATAAGTTTGGCAACCGATACGTTAACAAAACATTATTATTTTAAATAAAAAATTAGATATAAAGAATGAAATGTTAGTTTAATTACAACATACGTAAATCGCGCATATTAGGCAAAGTTGCTTTAATAGACTTTAAATAGTCCAATAATAAGAATAAGTGATAGACATCATTTATGTTTTTGCAAACAACTCTGAGCGGGCTAAACAGCTCATAATTGCATTTACGTTGACTAAGCTTAATCAAGATAAAGTGCCTAGAGAAGCGGTTAGGGACATTTACACTTATCTCACCAAGTAATACAGGCAAGTCGATAGTGCCATTTATTACTTCGATTAAGAAAGAAACCCCAAGAACAAATCTACGTTTCTCAAGTGACGGTAAGGATAATAGAAGCAACCTATTTTCATAGGGGGGAAGAGAGGCAATCGGCAACCAACCCAAATTCCTAAGGGCAAACAGCAAGAATTGCTTTTGAAAAGATTCAATTGAATTTACATAGCATCTACATGCAGGAGACCACACAAGGGAGGCATACTCGAGTATAGGTCTAACCAAACAAATGTACAACCTTTTCGTAATGTAAAGATCCTCAAGCTCTTTGCACCACCTCTTTATAAAACCAAGCGCGGACCTAGCTTTGCTTAACGAGAGCTCAATATGTAAGTTAAAACGTAACCTATGGTCAAATAGAACACCTAAATCTGTGAACGATTCGACGTCCTCCAACCTATGCGAATCAATGAAATACTGTATAATGAATGACTTCCTTCTTGAAAAAGAAAGCTTCTAAGGTTTACTTAGATTTTTTTTCAGAAGATTCAAAGAGCGCTATGCAATCAAATTATTCAAGTCACTTTGAAGCTGATGTGATTGCGATTCTACGGAGAAAGAAGAAAACAGTTTCACATCATCAACTTACATTAACATCTGGCTGTGGGACCTAAGTGGCTGCCTTGAGGTACGCCAGACGTCACGGTGAATTCATCCGAGCTGATGAAGCTAAACAAAATCTTAAATCTCTGGTCTACTGTGCACATAAGATCTTATCCATTTAACTAAATAAAAAGGGAAGGCAGAGGCTTGGAGTTTAAAGATAAGTAAGTGGTTAACCAAATCAAATCCTTTGCTTAAATCAGTATATATTACATCAGTGCGAGAGCCACTAGAAAGTGCCTTCAAAACAAAGCAAGTAAACTCTAACATATTGGTGACCGTAAATCTTCCTTTCCGAAAGCCATGCTGGTGTGGAGAAATATATGAGTTGATGGCAAAGGCCAAATGCAATAATAGTATATATCTAAAACAAAAGAAGGAAAATCGACAATGAAACTTAGCTTTCGTAGTTAGTGCTTACTTCTTTTGTATTTTTTAAAACCCCTTTTATTAAATGGGATATTTCCAAAATCTTTAAAAACTGGTAACACTACTTTTAAAAGGTGTTTTCTTTCTCTCTTCGCTTTGAAACTAAACAGTAAAGGCATTTCAATATAGATAACGCACTGTGAGTGATGCTGAAACAAACGGACGACAAACATCGCATTTATCTTTCTGCTAAAGTTTTTAAAGTCTTATATACAAATAAAGTGGGATATTTTGCTGTTGGTTTAAATAAAAACTAATATAATTTTTTAAAGGTAAATATTAAAAAAGCATAGTTTTGTACAATGTCAAACTCTTTTTATTCACTACTTTGCAAGAAAAGTTTAACGTCATACTGTTTATCAAGAACTGTTTATACGCATAAATTTATATGTATACGTGTTTATAAATAGATAGACGTGTTTATATAGCGAAACGCTTGAGTGAAGTAATAACTTCAAGGTTCTTAATTTTCTTTTAAGTGATTAACAAACAACAACGATCTGCAGTCTAGTTTACCTAATTGCTTCGTTTTCTGAGTGATTATTATACCAAATAAAGGTCAAGATGAATATTTACAGGTACCCCACCAGCTATAGATTTAAAATGAATGTAACACTGCCGGCTTTTATCAAACTTTAATGACAATACGTGTGCTTCAAGAAGAAGCATGGGATAATGCAGTTAGTGGTAAGATATATTCTAAACAAAGCAGTTGGAGTTTAGCGATAAACTTAACTTGCGTTTCAATACTATGCTTCGAATTGCATTTTCCATGTCCGAATTATGTGTAAGAGAAAAGAAAGCAAGAGAGGGAAAAATTGTCAGAACCAGGAAATAAATCTGCACTCACCTTTCAAAAGCTTAATTAATTTTAAGAGAAATAATGTCTACTTCCAACAATCATTCACTCCTACCTACTCAAATTAAACTTGTATTCGCGTAGCTAGAGTAAAAATAAATTTTCCGATAACTTCAATTAGCTCCTAAGCTTGTGACACTTAAATTAATTTAAAATTAATTTTTGTGAATTTCAGTAGAGTTCAACTAAACCGTTCTGATCTCTTTAACCTGTTGCTTGAAACTCTAAATTCGCATATTATTAAAAAAAATAATAATAATAATTCTGTCAAGTGCACTAATAAACTAAAGTGAGTACTATGATCTCTACCGTTCAATCTACAATAATAATTTAACATAAAAAAATTATATTTGTCTTTGGCACTAATGGGTTGTCGCGTAGCAGCGCAGTTTAATATTAAAAAGACTGTAAAGCACATCATTAATTGCGGGTCTTTTAATTGAATTTCAGTTTGCTCTAAACTTCTCAAAGGCGCTAAAGAATATTTTATTCAGTAATTGTCGAAGTGAATCAAATTTTCATCTCTTTTTTTTCTCTTTGAACGATAAATTATAATGGTATAATTTAAGTTTCTTAACATTCGAAAGTGCGACCAATAGCTATCAATTTAAGTCATCCAGATATTTCGTAACTGTATAATGAATATTCATAATGTATTTCCTAAGTTTAATAAATCTTTTCCAATGAGACCCTAAATAAGTTTCCTCTTGTAAAGGACCTCTAAATAATAATCGATTGCTTTTACGACTTCTTTCTTCGGCAGAGAGAGCTTGTCATTTAAAAATTGTTCGAGATTTGGTAATAATTAAAAAAAGTCAGTTCTGTTGGCTATTATGAATGCTACAATAATTTTCAATAGAACTGCCTTGATTTTGCTATTGCAGAAAGATTTAATTTAATTTCTTGCATTTAAGTTTTCTCTTCGCGATTTTGCAGTTGAATAATCTGAACAGCTTAAACAGTACTCTCCTACTTTTGCTTTGTGGATATGAAGATTATTAACAACACTTACCTTGCATCGCAATCTTAACCATTGTTGACGGTTCTGATCATTTTTAGCTTTTTGGGCAATCAGCCCCCTTAATTCTTACGATCTACTTTCGTAATTTAATGGCGACAAAAAGTCAAAAGCACAAAAGTGCCTGTCCCCATAGGTTTTTTCTATCAAATATTCGCAACGCACCTAAACATGTTTGTCCAACTGTGTAGTTACTATAGTAAACATTCTCCCATTGGCAAATGAAGAAATCGCCTTCAAATTTGCAAAAGAATCTGAATATGGCCCAAGCCGGTTAAAAACCGCAAAGGTATGTAATTAGAATACCTTTGTTTTCTGTGCGGTTTTCTCTTTATTCATAAATCACAACAGATACGCAATGTAAATTATCATTTTTACTCTACAAAAATAGAAAAAAATCTGGTTTAGGATAAAAGCAGTGTGTTTGAGAGATTCGTTCACTATCGAACATACTTCTTACTCGTTGATTTTAAGGCCCATCACTCCCACGTTTTAATCTGGTTTGTGGCCACCAGTTATGATATACTTATAGTTCGCTATTTGCAATCTTGATAACTCTAATAATAAACTTAACAGAGATAATCAGTAGCTCGCACCGATTAAGAACCTTTATATTCCATAGGATGTTTGGTGCCTATTTTTAGCTCTTGTTGGTGTATATGTATATATATATTTATGTTTCCTGGGCAAATATAAAACTTATGGCATAAAATTTGACGAATATTATTGATTTCTTTATATATAAATACATATATATGATTCACTTACAGTTCATATCAGTCGAGTACGTACTAACCTAAAACGTGAAGTTGAAAGCTTATTCTGTAAGTATGTTAAGTTAAATTAGGATAGAAAAAAAAGAAAAGGCAATAAAAAAACTCACATTATACATATGTAAATAAACAAAAAAACAAAAGGGAATGTAGAAGTACGTCCGTGATCCGTACGTATAAAGCTTTATAAGTATAGGATGGAAGAATACCACAAACAAGGAAAAGAGAAAGGAAAGTTTGACAAGCGTCAAAGATTTCGGAGTAGATGCTCTGATTAAATTGCTCAACTCCGTAATGGAAATTAAATAGTAAACTTTATTAAAATTGTTGCAAAGAAGGAGATTAAACCGCTCATAATTACGTCGATGTTGAGTAAATGTAATTAACTAAATTGGTGAATTACGCGACGAAGCACGTTAGTATTAATATTGTTTAGTGAAACCGGCGTATCAATTGTGCCGTGCAGCAAAAGCAACAGTAATGCTTACAACAAACCTGCGCTATCCTCTAGTGCGGGTAAATCAATTAATCTAAGCCAGAGTAAACTGGGTCAATATAACTAGAGGACCTAACTAATGAAGCATATTCAAGAATGGGTCTCATAATGAACAATCTTTTCGTTACATAAGCGTCGTGGAATTGCTCCCATCATGGCTTAGTGAAGAACAGCAGACTTTTTGCTTTATTAACTAGAAATTATAAAAAAAAATGAAATTATTTATGTCCGATCTTCTAGTCATTTCCAGCACAATAGTTATTGGTAAAATAGGGTCATAAGAAGATTAATGGCGGTGTCGACAAATCGGGGTAAAGTACGTGGCTTAAGATGAACAATTGAAAATGTTAGTGCGGCAGAAATATTGCTTTTACTTTTTCAAGTATTCTTTCGTTCTGAATCCTCTTAATAAAATATGTTTATTATTTAATATAATATTTCGATGTATACTTATGTATGTGTTTGCTTTTTGGGTAAACATTAACTGCATTTTAGAATATCGATTTGTGGAAATTGGGTCAAACCAATTGCTAGTAATACGACGACCGACCCAAACTGCAGTCACCTATGTACAGCATGTGTATGAATGTGCATATGTGCCAATTCTCGGCAATTTGCATTTCAAACCAATTTCTATGTAGAACAGCTTACTCTACTACCACATTACAGCTTTTTGAAATAGAAATATGTATGGAAATATATGTGTATGCGTATGTAAGTATAACAAGTTATGCATATGTGCACAAATTACAAATAGATGCAATTATTAATAAAGACTTACGAAAATCTTTTAAATGTAACTCGAATAACTTTGGGAAACCCTGCAACTGTTGATATAAAAGTTTCAATTTCTTATAATAAAAGTTATATTATCGTTGGATGCTTTAAATATTTTATAAATTTATTATCGGTTTGTTAGGTCGTGCAGTGATTGCTAACTACTACTTGCTAACTGCTTTGTAACCATATTATCGGAAAGCGAGTCTCAAGATAGAAACTATTAAATGGTTTGCTGAAAGTACATTAGCAGGATAATTAAACACATTAAGTATCACCGCTATTGCCAAGCCGGAAGTTAAAGCTTATATTAGTGTAATGAATTCGTTTGCAAAGACCAGAAGACATCTTAGAAATTTCGCAAAGTCAATATATAGCCGTTACATATAGAGGACATATCTAAAGGGAATGTTCTAGACAGACTTTTGTTTATCCGATTGTCCATTGATTGAGAATCGGAAGCTTTATTATTTTAAATCATGTAGCCATTTTTATATATGGGTTCTCATACAAGATTCTACCATCGATTTGGCCTCGTCAGTCCATCCAGTTTTTCTTGGTACTTTCAGTAATAAAATTGTAAACAGGTTTATGAAACTCGGCATGAGCGTTCTTAAGTAACTGGTACAGTGGAATTTTAAAATGTGTGATCTACTTGTAAAAACGGAAAAAAATTACTATTTTTATTTATTTGTTTGTTAATTTATTTGTAGCTTTTAAGGCCAAGTCATCACTAAACCATTTTAGGTTCAATAAACTTCCGTTAAGCATGATATTCATTCATATTTTGGCCACCCTTCAGTAGATGGCCAAAGAACACAGTTCCTCGGGTTTGTACTTTTTAAATTCGAATATCTGGTTTATTCATAGACAGAAATGTATTCATTTAATAATAAATATCTTCTTGCCTCACCTTACGAAAAACACCCCAAACTTGCGTTTCAAATGTAATGGTTTGTGGTTGAACAAGACAATATATATTATATGTCATTTTTAAACCCTTGTTTCAATACTTTGAAGTTCATATAATTGAAACTGGCCACACATGGAGAAATGGTATGAGCGGGAGTTCATTAGTCGAGATTTTTATTGTCTGCGTAGCTACATTTTCTTGTTAAGTGATATGGTTAAGTTAGTATCGATTTGTTATTGGGAACGTGTGGTTATCGTCGTAGACGTTAAGCGTCTATAGTTCTATACTTTAATGTAATCAACTTGCAAGCTAAAGTACAAATTCTTAATATGTAAATAGTCTCAAAAATAAGCTAAATATTATTATTATTTTTTTTAGACGATTGTATTGTTTGCAGATTCTTAACTCCGTGCTAACTTCACCAAAATGGCTTCAGGTTTGGGATGTATAAAATGCATAACATTTTTTTGCAACTTGTTATTTGCGGTAAGTGCAATATAGTTTGGAATTACATCGAGCTTGTGATTAAAATTTCTTTTTGATATATCCCTCAGCTAACGGGCCTTTTGATTTTATTCGTTGGTGCTATGGTGCAATTGAATTATTCGCACTATTCGAACTTTGTTAGCGAACAGATATGGACGGCTCCAATTATACTGATAATAATCGGTTCGATAGTGGCATTCATATGTTTCTTAGGCTGTTGTGGTGCACTTAAAGAAAACGGCTGCATGATTTTATCCTTCGCTATTTTAGCGTTTGCTATTTTTATATGTGAAATTGGCTTGGGTATAGCTGGTTACATGAAACATGCTGGCCTACGTCGCATTATGGAAGCCCAATTTAATGTCACAATGAGGGATTATAACGAGCGTGATGATTATCGTGATGCGTGGTCTTTGCTGCAATCTGAGGTAACTAAATGTTTTAAACATTATAGGCTGGGACCAGTTTAAGATCTCTTTCGTAACTAGCGCTACAAAACGCAAACACATTTTTCCTGTGTTATCGTACGAACAGGAAATTTTACATTCGATATCGAGACAAATTTATATGCTCTCAAGTGCCATCAACTCACTACTCCTTAGAAATTATTCAGAAACGAAATTTACAAACCCGAAATAGAAAACTACGTGCGAGCTCACTGATTGAGTCATTATTAACGTGACTTCGATTTGCCAGAGACTTTTTAAAATAAATGTGGAAATGAGACTCTGTCGCGCATTTCATCGTTATTCTTATGTTCATTCGCGCGAGATTTGTTATTGCCGATCTAACGATAACCTAAATTGAGATGAAAAATTGAAAAAACACAGAAAATACCTGATCCGTTTAAGTATTTACCAATCACCTAATAATTGATTGCTATAATCCTTAATCGACATGCGCTCAATCAACATTTTCTTTATGTCAAATAGAACTTTCTTGTTCTTTTGTCTGTTTTATTTGAAGGATTATAATTAAATTTACTGTGTGTTTTACTGCCGGAAAGTAAAATTTAATTTATTTATATTAGCTTTGGCAACTTAACGACCGCGTTGACAATGGTCTATTATTTTTTTAGTAATTATGCATTTTTCTATTTAGTTGGAGTGCTGCGGAACGTACGGTCCTTCCGATTGGGAGGCAGTGTATCATAATACAACACTGCATGCATCTTGTTGCCCAATCATTGTTCTTAACGAAGCAGATAAATGCACTACAGCTCATGCCAGTCCAGACGGTTGTTTAAATAAATTAATTCATATTTTGGATTCGAACGCTTTAGTTTTGGCTGGTGTCGTTTTGGGTGTCGCCACTATTCAGGTAAGTTTTCATATCCAGTTCATTTGCAGTTTCAAACGCGATAAAATATGTTTTCTATTGTTCTCCATGACTACAATTCTCCCTATAAAAAAGCTTTAGCATCACTTTTCAACTTTTAAAAAACTTTTGCTAACGATATTACCAACACGAAACAAATTTTTATATTTTCTGACACACTTTTGATATTCCTCCTAGAAAAATGGTTCCATATTAGACTCACTATTCTCTTTGTAACATCAGAAAACAAATTGCCTGTTCTTGAAGCGTGTATGATCGCCAAAGTTGAGATGGAAAATTTCAGCGTGACACCTACCTCAATAACGACCATACGGAAACAATCATGTCACAATTAGGCACACAGCAGACAAAAAGCTGTAACCTACAACTTATAACAGATATTGACTGATGATCATCGTTCGTAACCAATAGATCTTTACAAAAGAAATAAACCGGTGTTGGTTGAAAAAATTAATACAAATGCCCCAAAGATATCTAAAAGATTTTTCTAAAAGTAAATCCGGCAATGCTCTGCTACACTCTATCCAAACTTCTCCTCGCTCGTATTTATTTTTACTTACATCGTAAACGTCTGCATCCACGCGTCAAGGCATGTTTCGTAAATTGATTTAAATTCTTATAAAAATCGTTCTCTTTGTTCATGACACAGTTCATGGCTTTCTTTGTATCGCTAAGTTTATTAACTTTACCAAATTCTCTCTAGCGTATTGAACTTGGGAAAGTTCACATTTTTAAAAAAAGACGATTTTCATGTATTTGTATTTTTCTTGTCTTGCAGTTATTGACTATTTTGTTTGCCTGCTGCCTTTGTCGTTCGTTTTGTGGGAGCTACCAGACAGTTTGAGATTCGTAGTCGGGATCCTTTGTGTCGCATGTAATGTCATGCAATGTTGACACGTTCTCAAAAACCCAGAAAATATTAAAAAGAAAATTATTTATTTCGTTTTGAGTAAATTAATTATTATTTTTTAAATTTGCAAATGCCAACGATTTCACCATCTTTGTGAATAGTGAAAACTACGCGTAATTTTTCAACGTGCACATTAAAGAACTGCTAAAAGCGATGGCACTTGTCATAACAATAGCTGTAGTTAATCTTAATCCTTTCCTGTTTTGATATAATATTAACTTACATTTCCTCTACAAAATATAATCATTATACCTTTTTAATATCACATCACAAATACCAAAAAAAAAAAAAAACAAGTCCCTGTGATAACCTACGTATGTTTAGCATGTGTATGTGGTATTTATATTATAATTCGAACTGTTTGCTTATTTTTTAATTGATTTTGTAAATTTTCTAGTTTAAGGTTTCATGATAGAATCGCTAAGATGTGTGCGTATTTATATACTAAAGACAATTCAAAGGAAAAAATTAATAATAGTAAGATTCACGCTTGTTAGATATAAAATTTTTATATTCAAAATTATTATAAAATTTACTTAAGCACTTATATGCAATAAAAATAAATATATAAGAAGGAAATTATTTACTGAATGCACTTTGAGAGGAAAACTACTTATTAAGATGCCTAGAAAAAAATCAATTTTTCGCTTACTGTATACTATTTCTAGGAGCAACGCTAATATCAGTTAGTTTTCTTATAATAACTTGAAACAAGACTCTAAAAAATCTACAATAATAGATTTTAAAGAAATTTCAATGACTTAGCAAATATATCTATCCCTCTGAATGAGTCTATCATGTTTGCGACTTATTTAAGGGATTTTTATTATTTTTCTTCAGAATTTGTGACAAAATATAAATGTATGGCACACACAATTTGAAATATTGAAATAGTTTTTTAAATCTAATTGAAAATAATATAAATTTAATAATTCAAAATAATATAATGACTCAAAATGCGAATGTACATTACAGCAGTAAACTGTGGCAAATTTGTACTAGTTATCTGACTTTAAAAGTTGTCTACAGAGAATTTCATTTGTTTCGTCTTCGCTTGAATTGAAATTACTTTGTAGATAGATAGCTTGATATAAATTTTAATAGTCTTCTAACTGGATTATAAAAGGTTTTTACTTCATTCCTCAAAGACAGCTCTTAATTTCTTTCTCGCTTTACACCCATTGCTAGACATACTAGATAAGTACTAGATATGATTTACTAGATTTATAACACCTGTAAATATACGTCACGCGTATACATTTTTGATTCATAGGGCATTTTGAAACAATTTAACAATGTCTGTCTCCCTTTTGACGTAACGTGTTCATTCGTAAGTGTTTTGAAATGGTAACTGCCTTAAATTCACCTCAAAATAAATAGACACTTATATTCAAACCCCCCTTCCCCATCCCTCTTTTTTTACAAAAATTTGTACTGCACGAATTTTTATAATTGTGTAGAAAAACTTTTTGAATATATATATAATATATACATATATAAAACTACTTTTTTGTATTGCACTTTACTAAAGAGAAAAAATTGATAATTTGATCAATTGATAAAAGTCAACCTATTTATAAGTTAATATCTAATACAGGTTTATACTATTTATTGTAAACCTTATCTATGTACTGAAATAATGTGTTGCATTATAAATTAAATGTTAAAGACTTGAACTACTGCGATACCACAGATGTCATAACTAAACAATGAATATGATAGTTAGTTAGTTATTCCTTCAATTACATGATCGTCACTCTTACTCATTACATTGCAAAATAAAAACATGAGTAAGTCTTGCAAAATAGAAAAATGAATCCGATTTTGATATTATTTGCCAGTCAAATGCAGAAGTTGAGTTCGAGAAATGCTCAGATTATCTGCGGACTCAATCCTAAGTACAGATGTAACTCTTAATGATCTTAATTCCTTAGAGTTCTTTACAACAAACTCTATGAATAGTAGTAAGAGTCTTAAATATCGGTTTTGAGTGGAATATACTTTCCCTCCTCTGTGATTTGTGGTAATAAATTCAATAGATCATGGGATAGACGAATGATTTCAAGGAAAATGACGAATTTTACAGTATCGATGCAGTTCAAGTTTAAGTGTTCAAAATAAATTCGAATAGTTGTGCTGCACTGAATAAAAATTTTAAAGTAAAACAAAGTTTATAAAATTTTCTTTTAAGTACAACAAAATACGGATAACGTAAGTTATTAAAGACGTTTCTATGCGCTATGTACGATTAAAGCATTGGTAATTCGCCTAAATATCTATAATTTATTTTGTACTTTAAAGATCAACTTTTAACCGGATAAAACCGAAAAGAGAAATGAAAAGTGTTGTGTTAGAAGTCAATCGGATTTTAGTAATTCTACTTAATAGTAAATTTTAAGGCGTTGCACATAGAGAGAACCCAATTTGAAAAAGAAGCTGTATTGTACTAGTCCAACTGTTTATAAAAAATTATTTTTAATGAGGGGAAATGACGAGATGCTGAAAAAATTTACTCTACATTGGTAACATGTCACTTGCCCGATGTCTCTTTAAATTTTATCAATTGATCGCATGGAGTATCCAATTATTATGCTAAATTGCTAAACTGACTCGCTAATCCCAATCATGATGCTCTGACAATGCTTGCAAACTTTCAATTGAAATATGTGGTGAACTAATAATACGCAATCTGCAGGCAGCGAAAGTTTGAAGGGAGCCGAGACTGAGTTAAAGAAAAGGATAAAAAAATTTTCAAGTCCAATTTTCCATAAACAAACCTCAGTGGGTATAATGGTATCAAACATCAACGGTTTTGTAAGGAAATCTAGAAGCAGCAAATGGTTTACCTTTACTGCCTTGGCTATCGGAGAGGAAATCTCTGGTGAGATTTCGGTTGCTTGACGTAGAAAATTACGTTCTATCAAAACGATTTCTGTGTAAATAACATATTTTGGCACGTTGTTGGCCGGTTATGGTCAAGCAAAAGTGATCACGTTGCAGTTCAGCAATAAGCCCTCACAATACTTCCGCAATAGAAAATTTATTGCTTATTTTTGCTTATACCAAGATTTCTAGATATTGAAATTTAGAACGATGCAACGTTGATGTCCACGGGTTCTCTCCAAATTTTACTGGATAAGAGCAGATAGTATATACCCAAGCAAATTAATGAGGTGGCTACTGCCGCTGGTGCAGGATCCTTTATCTGTGAAGAATGCAAGCCGTGCCACGATAGTTGCCTACTAGCTTAACTATAGACACGTGCGTTAAGCGTACCACTCCTTAATTTCCTTATTGGCTTCCATAAAAATAATATACCATGATATCAATATAGGGAATTTAAGAAGATTAGAAAAAAACGTAGAACGGGATTTAGTAAAGAAAAATGTACTTATGAAATGTAAATCCTTATATAATTCAAATGAGAAATGTCAAATCGCTTGGGTAACATATAAGGCAGTAAGTGATAAAGTTTTGAAAAGAGAAGTAACGTAGATTGAATCATGATCAGGAAAATTGAAGAAAATTCTTATTGAAAGCGATTCTTACCACGATAATCATTCTCATGTGAGAATAAGCGTATATGTTTGTTTACACTTTTCAATAATTGAACACCTATTTGTATAATCTATGGTGCCTTTAAAGAATAAACGTATAAAGTATGGTGCCTTTAGAGAATAAGCGTATATGTCGTTCTCAATAATTTGTAAAAACGCCAACCATGTGAGAATAAGCGTCCTAATGAGGCTAATAATCGTTGCTTGCACGCGCTTGCTCCAGGTATGTTGAGCTGAGGATTAAGTTGTTTCACTAGTCCTTCGCTACTTGTTCACCGTTCACTTCCTCGCAAAAATCATCTTCCTCTTCGGTCAGGTCCCTTAAGCAATTGTGGCAATTCAGCTGTTCACGGATGTAGCGCGCGATCCCGTATCCTGTGATCAGCCGAAAGTAGCTCTCTTCTTTATTGCTGAGCTGACCTGTGAGCAGATCGTCGAATACCTGTCCATCAAATGGTGTGAACCCTTTTTTGGGCTCTTCTTCAATTTCGTAACTCATATTTTTAATTAGAAGATAGTCGTCGTTCGTTGCAAATCCGTTTGCATATTTTGAGATCTGTATGCTTCTTAATCTGTCGATCAGTTTTAAAATATCCTCCGATGACCTGGTTCTTTTTCGTCTGCTCGTCGCCATCTTCGTAAAGAAGAATTCGAGAAGGTCCTGGCTTACCCTGTATGTATGAGGCTATAGTCATGCCAGGATAAGTCTCCATCAGGTCGTTCATTAAGCGGATGAAATTTTTAATTGTCATCCGAGTGTCAGCCGCTAGGTTGTCCATCTCAAATGTTGTTACCAAATATTCCCTGACAGCTCACAGTTCGCCTTGGAGCTTCTCCTCTTTTGGTGGTCGATATGATGCTCGGATGAAACACGTTTGTGAATTGCACGAGCGTTGAATAAAATTTCGTCGGCATTATTGATGCAAACTTTTGACTTGATGGCCGCTTGGAGCGTTGCTGGAGTAATGTTGTGGCAAAATTGTATTAGTTCTGTGGGATATCGGGGTGATGATATTAACTGTATTGACCCCCCGCGCCATGATTTCCAACTGCTTGTTTTCTTTGATGTTTTGTCTGAATCCATCCAATTTGTGGATATAGCCGTGCATTAATAAAATGTTATAACTGCTGCCGTCTGCTCGTTTCCATTTATATACTCCATTGATGAAGTTTTCCATTGTGTCCTTATTGTTCGGCATTCTGTCGCAGAGGACCGCTCTCACATCTAAGCCAATCTCGATTTCCAGTTTGAGATTGACATCTAACAGCGAAGACAAAGACTGAAATGTACTCTACCGCTTCCTTTCCCTTTGGCGTTAATCCGCCCTCGAGCATCCTGTCTTTAGCTCGGTTGTAGACTGTCTTTCTATTTGTAAACACTTCATCGAAGTATAGCTCCACTATTTCATTGTGAGGAGCCAATTTCCGCACGACTTCATTGAGTTCCTCAGTTCCTGGCACACCGCTGTCAGCTGCTGCTTCCACTTTCTTGCCTCGATTGGCCTTCAATGCAGCATTTTCGTCTTTGAGCTGCTCGATCTGTCGTATCAACGCCGCCTCCTTTAAAGTGGTGGATCCATCTGTATTATACATACTTTCTAGTATATTACCTAAGACACATACGGGGCTAGATGTCGTTGTACGTATGGTACTACCGTCCCGTTTTGTTTGCCCCGTTGTGTCTATTATGATCCTATTTTCCTCAACATTTTCTAGTGATATTTCTTCGTCTACGTCTATTTCTGCTTCGTCTACGTTTTGACGTCTCCTTGCTCCTGCACATAATTCTTCTAAGCCTGGCGCAAAATGTTTGCGTATTTTGTCAGTGTTTTCAAAAACTAAGAAGTCCTCGTCGATAGTCACTATCCGTCTATTTATATAATCCTTTAATTGGCTCATCAACTTCGCAATCGTTCTCGCCAACCCCAACTCCCTCGCGTACCAGATATAATCAAATAATGGTGAGACCGCTACCGCTCCTACCCATCCTCTTCAAACTACGTCTAATGGTTCTACCAACTACCTGGTCCGTCACTAATTCGCCAGTTATTGCCGTCAATCTGTCAGCAAATCTCTTGCGTTCTAACTTGCAAGTCCTATGTCCGTCAACACCCCACATCTCTGGGTGTTGACACAACAACTCACTAAAAACTGCGTTCTTGAATTTTTGCAAAAAGTATGGTTAAGTCGTAAACGATGTTGAAGCGTTTGTCGGTTCCTACGCGGTAATGAACCAACATTAAAAGAGCGAATGTCTAGAATATCATCTTGAAAGCCTTTAAGTATCTAGTAAAGTATTCAGATACTATTGAGAGTACGTCGGAATGTCGAAGTTAGTGCAGTCTGAATAGAATTCATCCAAAGAGCTAAATATGATTTTACGGAAAGGAACCCATTTGCCAAAGCGAGAAAGACTCTAGAGCGAACTCAGGTTATTTATGCCTTACATTCATCACACAAAATCTATAATAAAAATTCGAAATTGTGCCACATTCGCAATGTTGTGGTGTTGGAAATCAACAAAGCAACTGGTTTAAGTTTTGACGTTTAATACGAAACCAAATTTATGCTCTAGACCAGTTATTGTAACAAAATATCATATTTATGTCGATATATGAAACAGACAATGCGACTCGCGATGGACTCGAGTCTTCTTACCAGCATCATCAGAATAATTTTTGGATTTCAGCCTATTTATCTGTCCAGTACTGATCCATGCGTGTGTTTGAACAAATTTGCACAAAATTTGGTACATACACTGTATTATTGCATCAGGCACATATCGGCAAAATTCCCAGGAATCAAAGATGCAACCAGTTTATGTTGCATTATAGACGTTTTCTTTAACCGGTTTGGGCCATTTTTGATTTTTTTTTGTCAAATTTGAAGTCTGTAGCTTCATATTTGCGGCATTGGGAATATTTACAACAGACATTACTCTCGCGGACGGGCGGATATGCTTAAATCGATTGACAATTTGATACCGACCAAGAATACATAGAATTTGTGGGATCTCTGAAGTTTTCTTTTGGCTGCTGCCAACGTTTTGAGAAAACGAGTGTACTCCCATCATTTGGTTTTTCATATATTTTGATATCTTCGCGTCGTTTACCATGGTTGCTTGTTTTTCTTCCTTTTTGGTATAGATCGCTTGTTCTTGTTCCTTTTCGGTATAAATCGCTTGTTCTTGTTCTTTTTTGGTATATGTTGCTTGTTCTTCTCCCTTTTTGGTATAGGTTGCTT